GTCTAAAATAGTAAAATAACGGTTAAAAAATTAATTTTTAGTGAAAAATTGCTACCAAACGAGGGCTTTGTATTAATTTGTTGGAGGATTTGACGAGTTTCGAACGAATTAAAAAAATAAAATTTAGCATAGAAATTTAATAGAATAAAATTGTATTCTCAATACTCAATTTCTATTATTCAAAATTTTTTGTAATGATGAAATGAGTCATCTTTTTATATTACATTTGATATATACAAATCAATTGTTAATACATAAATTTAAACAACCATTAAAATTTATAGATATATAAATATGAATAAATTCATCCATAATAACACGAAATTCATATAATTCAATATTCATCAAGTGAAATTTCATTGAATCTAAATTAAGTGAATGTTAATTAATTTAGAATAAATAATACAAATTTCATAAATAACAATAATTATGTAGTATTTATTACATATCGAAAAACGAAAAGTAAGATATTGAAATAAGGGATAATTGTAGCAGCGATCCTTAACCTTTTCATTTATTGTAAATTTTACCCTAACCTTCATTTTGTATCAACGAATGTGCCCAATCTTTCATAAATACGCACTTGGTGTCCATCCAAAACATTATAAATTGAACGAGAAAATTCCTTGAACTATTTGCTACCACGACGGATTTATTGGATATTGATACCTTTTTTGACAGTATTTTGGACAATTTTATTTGATGTTAATTCCTTAATTTTTTCAATCAACTGACTGTGTTTTGGATGGTTTTAGTCTAGATGGACCTCAAGTGTATATTTATGAAATGTTAGAAACCTCCGCTAGCACAAAATGAATATTAAGGTAAAATTTGCAAAAAAAAATGAAAAGGTTAAGGACCGCTGATAGAATTTTCCCTTGAAATAATTGAATGATAGGGGGTTAAAATCATCCAAAAAATTATTCTCCCCGATACTTTAATATATTATAGATTTTTTTTTTATCTGAATACACGAGATTGGGTAAAAATATGAAAACTGGAGTATTCACTTAACTCTCTATTTAAAAAATAAATAAATAATCTCTTGTTATGACCGAATAATTCTGTAAGTACAAGGAAAAAAAAACAAAATTTGTGTCGGACCTGCATTGGCAGCACCTGTATGGCTACTTATCTTTTGTATTTTTGTCATCTTCCAATGATAATTCATCAAGAGTTGTCTGTTGATCTATACGAGTTATATAAAGTAAAAAATAAAATAAAAAGTACCTCTGGCATTGCTCTCTATAACATTACATTATTTAATAAAATAATATTATATATAAATTAAAAACTTTTCATTATTTTTTTAACTGCATATTCTCCAAAAAAAAACATTATTTCAAAATACATTTTTCCTCAAATTCTCATTAAAATGGGGTCCAAACATATTTGAACAATTCTTTCATTTAAATTACTAATCTTTCAATTGTTTCTAAACGGTCACATAACATTATATTTTGTTTTTAGATTTGTCTTCATTAATAATATTAGTGGAAATTAGTGATGGAGATAAAAATGACCGACTTATAATGAAACATAAAGTAAAGTAGCCATTTTAGAGGAAGAAAAAGTTGAGTGACCATTGACCAAAGTGAAGAGAATTCGAAGTTAAGTGACCATTGAGTTTTTAATATTGATTATTTTTATTATGTCTTTTGAAAATCGCCCAAAAGTCAATTTACTATTTAGCCCTATTTATTTTTTATTTTTTTGAAATTAAATTAGAATAATGTCACTTGTACAATGTATTTGTACAACTTGATTGATAATAAGTGTGTTAAAAAAATCCTAGCCATTAATTTTAAAAACAGTTTTTCAAATAGATGGATGTGATGTTTGTCAAGTCATACATTGTAAATCAAGTTGTAAAATATATTGTACAAGTAGCATGATAGAATAAATTATGTGGAAAGTGTTTTTTTTTAATGTATGATTAAAAAGTAAGAAAAAGTCATGGGCTCACGTGCAAGTTTTTTATTGAAAGAGCGTGGTTTAAAATGAGTTTAAGAAAAAATGAGTTTTAAAAAATGAGAGTTGTCAGCTTAAAATAGGAATCATGAATTTTACTATCTTAATGTTTCTACTTCTCAACAAAATATGTTAAATGGTATGTTCAAACGTGTAAAGAACATAATTACGTGTTCTAACTTACAAAGAACCACAACTAGACCGAACATTGTAGTGAACTCCTAAACACATCTAGAAATATTAAAAACTCTTTCTTCAAATGGGTTGAAAGATGAATTGTTCTCATCTGTATATGGAAAAAATTGAGAAGAATCTCATTTTTCAATCGACAATTTCCAAATTGAATAATATATATTTGATGCTAAAATGAAGATCGCGACACTTGAAGAAATTTTGGAGGAAAAAGATGCATTTAAAGTCAATATTCAAACCGCTCTTGATCATTCCGAAGAGATCGCTAAAATAATTATCGATGGAACAGCAAGCTTGGATGATGTGTTGAGCTATGGAAGGACCACCATGTCACGACGAGTTAGGCTATGCTGGATGTGGAAAAGAGAAGAAGTCCAAAAAATTGAATTTTGTAAAATCTTAAATTCCGAAACATATCCTGCAATAATCCGTTGTTGTTAACTTTGTAGCTATCAAGATTGTGAATAAAACTTCTACAGCTCAAACTGAGACTGAAACCCTTGATTAACATTAGAACTGCACAAATTCAAACTGATGGTGGAATTCCCATATTTAACCTTGGTAAGCCTTTAGGTAAGTCTTCCACTGTGGTAGGAATGGTCATATCTCAATGGCCAGATTTGTTGAACGTGATTGAAACATAGAACAAATATGTTCACATTCCTAAGAGGTCTACACACATGTCTAAACCTACCATCGTTCATTCAAATATCAGAAAATTCGAAAGGTGAAGAAAAACTTAAGAGTTTAGGTAAACATTGTTCTCGTATGCTTTTGCTGTGGTGTTGAAGGTAATAAAAATCTAAATATCCTGGAATTTTAATATAAAAATAAAACCATGCTGAACTGTGTGCACAAACCTAAGTCTAAATAGAAAGTTAATCAGGTTTGGTTGGAAATAATGATTTGAAATTCTATAGAAGTAAGGTGATCCAAGTTGAACTTGTTCATAATAAGGATAAATCTAAGACTTTTGCACATGTTCAGTTTGAGGTTCTCATAAAAGCATTAGGAAACTGTAGTGTCCATTGATTGTTTGTTTCTTGATCTGGTAGAGTAGTCCTTTTTTATTTGTTTGTGGTGTTCTGCATTTATATTTGTTATTTGTGTGCTTTTCTTTTGAGTTTTGAGCGGACTAATGAGCAAAGTTCACTCGAAAAAACTAGAGAAATTGGTAGGCTAAAAGCTGTATTTCTTAGATAATTTTAGTTGCTTGTGTTAGGAAAATGTGTAATTGGCAATCTGTGACCAAAGGACCTATTTGTCAAAATTGTAAAGTCAAGGACTAAATTGTACAGGTCAAATAGTTCAGGGACTAAAGTTGCAATTTAGTAAAGCTCATAGCATAAGTCTAGGGTAAAGTGGGATGCTGTGAAGATGCAAACGGCACGTTGATGTCGCTGGAGTTTCGCCCTGACTTTGCTAGAGCCAAAATTGCAGAACTGACCTTGTTGGAGTTTCGCTGGTCTATCGCCTGAGCGAAGGTACGTCGCTCGAGTTTCGCCAGGACCTCGCTCGAGCGACTGTGTTATTTGGCCTTTGGTAATTTTAATGCCTCGCGAATTTTTAACGCTCCATATTACCAAATTCGACCTACTATATAAACAAAACGTCTGATTTTCATTAGGTGACCTTTGGCAAACATTAAAACAACAATTTCTCTCAACTTCCAAAAGATCAAGAGCCAAAATAAATTCATTCTTTTCATCTTTGATTCTCATGGTTCTTTGAATAAAAATATCAACCCTCACAAAACCAAAACACCCTTTCATATCTCCATATAAACTTCCAGAAGATCATCTGTTTGAAGATTCGGGAAGGAAATTGCTTGAAGAGCTGGAGTGCTTGGTGATTCACGGGAGGTAGAAGATATTCAAAGCTGGGATTTTGGCGCAGATCTGCAAAATCCAGGATAGCTGTGGTCGATACAGTAAGGAGGTCAGAATATTGTTAGAATCAATAATGTCTGACGTACTGTAAGTCAATATCTTCTATAGTGGATCTCTACTAGCTTGTGCCCGGAGTTTTTACCCAATTGGGTTTTCTCCGTCAATATTTTGTTGTGTTTTTACTGCTTTCTGTTATTTATTTTTCAACCAGTAATTCAACTTAGATAGATAAAGTATGTGAATGAATTTAGGCAATGCATAATTGATGTGACTTGTTGCATCAGTTAATTAATTGTTTTAATTCAGCATAAACACCTATTCACCCCCCCTCTAGGTGTTGGTTGGGTCGAACTATTGCTTTTTCAAGTGGTATCAGAGCTAAAGGTCGAGTCCTGACCCATAGTTGTCTAGATGAGTCAATCACTTTCTGTACCTCCGTATTTTGACGGAAGTAATTATGCCTATTGGAAGGTTAGAATGCGTGCGTTTCTTAAGTCTTTAGATGAGCATGTTTGGGTAAGTGTGCAAAATGGTTGGAAACCTCCCTCTACTGTCGTATCAGGAACTGTTAACCTTACCGACATATCACTATGGACTAAGGATGAAATAGCTTAGTGTAATTGGAATAGCAAGGGTCTTCATGCCCTGTTTATGACCGTGTCTCCCGAAGAGTTTAGGAAAGTGTCAATGTGTGAAACTGCTAAAGAGGTTTGGGTCATTTTTGAAACTACACATGAGGGAACTAAAACGGTAAAGAACTCTAAGTTACAAATGCTAACTTCTAGGTTTGAAGAAGTGAGAATGAAGGATGATGAAATGTTTGACGAATTCTATGCTAAATTGAATGATATTGTTAACTCTAGCTTCAATCTAGGTGAGAAAATTTCCGAGTCTAAAATTGTGAGAAAAGTGCTTAGGTCCCTGCCCGAGAGATTTAGGCCTAAATCAGACCAAACCAATTACCATAATAATCCTATTATCACACATAACCTAGCTCAACAACCAGCTTATCCGAGTCCAATTACAGATATTCACTTCAAAATCAACCCACATCTCCAAATAAAACTTAGCCAACTTTTTGAAACCCAAAAGTCTATTAATCCAATTTAATGGTTATTAACCCAAGGCCATCAGCAAGCACAATTAAACAGCTAAGTAGAAGTTGGTTTCTTGCAATTCAATTTAATTTAAAAAATAATAATAATAATAATCAAAAAAAATAGCCTTGTGACGTGCCTCTGCTATTACATTCCTTCGTAATTGGTTTCTTTAATGTTAAAAATAAGCTTTTATTTCAGTGTTCTGGCTTGTTAAACATATTTTTTTTTAAAATATATTTTATTTTCTTTCTTTCCATTTAAAATATTATATATTAAAAAATTGCTTCGTCTTGACACTCCCCTTAACATCGTGTACGATCCTTATAACAAATCTTATACCTACATCAAACCCCATCATTACCACAATAGTGTGTCTTTCCCTTCCTCTTATCAATATAATAATCCCTCGACTAGGAACTATGTCGTGGACGTTCATAATTTTTCCAAGCATGTTCCATTACAATCGTGGGACTTTGATGGTTGGATTGGCCTGAGTCATTTTCATATAATTATCTAGATCAACGCCCTATTTCTTTGTGAGATGAAATAAAATGGATATTAAGTAACAAATATGTCCATGTATATTATTGGACTCAATTTTTAAATCAATTCTTTTTGCACTATAGACAAAATGTTCCACTATTAATGAGTATGTAGCCCCATATTTATGAAACTCCCTACATCATAGCATCTAGGTTTTTCAATAATTTGAATACTGAAATCTTGTCTAGCCACATTTTTGCACCCCAATTCTTAGATGAAGCTTAAATGCAGGCCAACCTTTGGTACATATCTTTACAAATTCATCAATCATGTAAAAAACTAAGCATACCACTCCAATCACTTCCTAACTCTAGTTGTGTTAATCCTCCTTCTGAAGAAGAAAATGAGGTTTCTACTATTGAACTTATTGACTCTTCTGATAATGAAGCTGAGAATTTTGAGACTTGTCTCATATTGACCATTATACAGTTGAGGCAATACATACGACATTGCCATCTAAACCAAACATTCTAACTATCATTGACCTCATGCCAAAATTGTTATTGCCTACTCCTTTGCATGACTTTAAGGTTGACTTTATTGTGGTGGTACCTCAACTGATTCATATTCCCCAAGTTGCCACAATTTTTTTCAAGGCAATTGTTCGTCTACGTACTCTTCCTATCAATATTCGGATGTTGTATACTAATTATCAGGATATAGTGTTAACTCCTTTTTTTGTCAATGTTCCTAAATTTCATGCTAAGATAAAAAAGACAAATTATTATCAATTATGAAATTTTTTAGCTTACCTTTGATGCTCAATGTAAGTTTGGAGACTTTAATGGTAATTATTATGCTTTATTGCATGTTTGACTAAGTTTCCTGAACACTTGGAGCAAAGGACTTGTGATCATAATATTTGTTACTGGTCATTATATTTGTATTGAAGTTATATTTTCAATATAGAAGAATTGTTTCCTTATCGGGACCCATTCAAGCCTCCGACGTTGCAGTCATTTTTCTGCAAACCAATCTGTCACTCTACACTCTACTCCCCTATGATCATCAATATGTGCAACCAATTGAAGTTTTAGAAGAGGAGTTACATAAGTTTTTTGCTCTTCGAAGTTTGTAATCAATACTTTTTTTTATGACTGTGAGTGTCCGGACCAACTTACGCGCACCTCGTATAATCTCACGAGACCCTGAAATTTACAGCCAGATATTCATCTCAGTGCCTCTGAGGGGATCGAACTGGTGACCATTGGGAAGCAAATCCAAAATTTGAGCACTAAGCTACCCCTTAGGGTTATCAATACTTAGTTAAAATGAAAGATCATCCCCCTAGAAAAAATTCCAATTAGAAATTAATCTGCCCTCATATTTAATCTACCCTAAAGACTGTTTCATCTTGACTCCATAATCAAATAGATTCCAATTACTGGTTTCGTTTCTCCTACACATCAACAAGGAGACTAATCATCATTCATTCATTCATCATCTCCAATATGGTCACATTGATTCCCACCAGTGTCGTGTCCTCAAATATAAGAATTTACCAGACGCTAAATGGCTGAATCAATAATGATCCCTTACCACTATACGTCAACGACTTAACTACACAACTTCAATCAAACAGAATCAAGAAATAACTAAGCAAGGCACAAAGTTTACCAGCAGACTCATTTGTAGCATCACCATAGGATGCATCCATTGTGCATTTGAGCAAAGGAGTTCGCCATATACGTTGCTGAGTTGAACCAGCCAAACTTTGTTTGTGAAAACCAAGGTAACAAATAAAGTTTAGTACCTGTGATGTATACAACTACATAGTTCACAGTATATAATACATACCCATGCAAACAAAGTAAATCCTTTGATCTCCTAATATTAGGAAAAGAAGTAACTCGGGCATTACTCAACCCCACATCTCTTGCAGGTAAGTGAAGGCTATATGAATATCTCAAAGGGCTACAAGTTAATCCAGATGATGACATTGTTGTGGCTCCAGTTAATTAATCAACCTCAGCACCCTGCAACTTCACTTGGGGAGAGCAAGTGAAAGGCTGCAATAATGAGCAGAAAGAAAAGATTAAGCATGGATGAAATGGACAAAGCATGTCCAAAGGCTAATACACGGAGAAAATCCACTTCAACATAACTGAGAAACTTCTCTCGATCTGATTAAAAAAAATTCAAAATAATGTTGAACATGAAGTACCATCAATGAGTCAATGAACAGACCAAAAAGAAGCAAATAAAGAACAAGAGGAGAATGAAAAAAATTACAGGCACTCAAACCACTGATGGAAGGGTGAAAGGAGAAGACAGCATTTTATGCTTCACAAACTGAGTCAAAAGCCCCAATATTGCTTTCAATTTAAGCATTTTCTAAATATGTAACTTAAATATATACGGCTAACAGTGATAGAAAAATTAAATATTTAATAAAAAATACATAATTAATCATCCAAAAAGAAAAGCGATAAACAAAACAAAAACAATGTAAACACTCGAAAAAGTCTATACGAACTTCTAAAAATTGAAACAGCTTTTATGAATCCTAAAACTTGAAGTGGATGTCAATAAACTCTCAAATTACATAGGCATATAAATGAGAACATCATAAATACTACTGTATTATCTAAAACGAAGTATTTTCTCAAATCTCATATGTATTTTTTGTGTTGGTACTTATCCTTTTTACTTTTTTCAAAACCTAAGCCATAATGGGGATGAATTGCATTAAAAAGGATAGACTCTAAACTTAATCAGATTAGCACTCATCTGATCAAAACGTGTGGGAGAAAATTCAACCACTTCCCTTGAGATGTGGGAAGTTGTTGATGAGCTTCTCCAAATCTCTGGAGAACTTCAATTTGAACCCCTTTTAGTTTAATTATGCTATCCAATCTATTAAAAAAAAAAAAATTGAAACAATACATATAAGTAAAAAATTTAAAATCTCTCTAACCCCATTTCATCAAATCGAGGGTGCGAGTATTTGAAATGTTTCACTCTCAAGAAGTTAGATTTAGAGCAAGAAAGAGAAAGGATAAAACTATACTCCTATAACACTTCAATTCAGTCTTATTCTTTCAATCCGTTTTCCTTCTGGTTTCCATCCATTCAATTGCTGACAAGATGAAAAATTCCACGGAATAATACGGGCACAGCAAACCGTAAAGCTTTAAACTTTTCATTTCATCAAATACATTTGTTCCGAATATTTTCCAAAGAAAAAAACCATTTTTAACTAACATTTACCATCAAATATAATAGCAAATGTCATTAATAATAGTAACCAGTCATATCCTTTATCCCACAAAAGCACAGAGAAAACCCAAAATATATCTGATCACAGTTTTTGCATATACCCCCCCCCCCCCAAAAAAAGGTTGTCATGCTCAGCTTCATTTAGCTACTAATTTGAAAATTAACTGCAAAACATAGGAAAGTATGAAGAAACTAAGACTGAGTAAGTGACGTACCTTGTTGTTGAAGAAAAAATAAACAATCTTCTGGAGAAATGAAAACTTTAGCACAGGTCAATTGTAGAGCGAGCAACGGATAACAAGGGGCGGAGTGGGAAAGAGGGTTTTCCTCTCTCAAAACCTCTTTTATTTTTACTTTTTAGTGGTAAAAGTTGAACGGTTATTGTGGAATATATGTTCAAGTAATAGTTGGGCCTATTTGGCAGTGGTGATAAGAATTGATTTTTTAAACGATTGAAAAGTGGATTTTATTTGTGAATGAAAGAAGTAAACAATAATGATCGAAAGCTTAAAATAGTAAAATAACGATTAAAAAATTAAATTTTAGTGAAAAATTGCTACCAAATGAGGGCTTTGTATTAATTTGTTGAAGGATTTGACTAATTTGTTGGAGGATTTGACGAGTTTCGAACGAATTAAAAAAATAAAATTTAACATAGAAATTTAATAGAAGAAAATTGTATTCTCAATACTCAATTTCTATTATTCAAAATTTTTTGTAATGATGAAATGAGTCATCTTTTTATATTACATTTGATATATACAAATCAATTGTTAATACATAAATTTAAACAACCATTAAAATTTATAGATATATAAATATGAATAAATTCATCCATAATAACACGAAATTCATATAATTCAATATTCATCAAGTGAAATTTCATTGAATCTAAATTAAGTGAATGTTAATTAATTTAGAATAAATAATACAAATTTCATAAATGACAATAATTATGTAGTATTTATTACATATCGAAAAACGAAAAGTAAGATATTGAAATAAGGGATAATTGTAGCAGTGATCCTTAACCTTTTCATTTTTTATAAATTTTACCCTAACCTTCATTTTGTATCAACGAATATGCCCAATCTTTTATAAATACGCACTTGGTGTCCATCCAAAACATTATAAATTGAACGAGAAAATTCCTTGAACTATTTGCTACCACGACGGATTTATTGGATATTGATACCTTTTTTGACAGTATTTTGGACAATTTTATTTGATGATAATTCCTTAATTTTTTCAATCAACTGACTGTGTTTTGGATGGTTTTAGTCTAGATGGACCTCAAGTGTATATTTATGAAATGTTAGAAACCTCCGCTAGCACAAAATGAATATTAAGGTAAAATTTGCAAAAAAAAAATGAAAAGGTTAAGGACCGCTGATACAATTTTCCCTTGAAATAATTGAATGATAGGGGGTTAAAATCATCCAAAAAATTATTCTCCCTGATACTTTAATATATTATAGATTTTTTTTTTATCTGAATACACGAGATTGGGTAAAAATATGAAAACTGGAGTAGTCACTTAACTCTCTATTTAAAAAATAAATAAATAATCTCTTGTTATGACCGAATAATTCTGTAAGTACAAGGAAAAAAAAACAAAATTTGTGTCGGACCTGCATTGGCAGCACCTGTATGGCTACTTATCTTTTGTATTTTTGTCATCTTCCAATGATAATTCATCAAGAGTTGTCTGTTGATCTGTACGAGTTATATAAAGTAAAAAATAAAATAAAAAATACCTCTGGCATTGCTCTCTATAACATTACATTATTCAATAAAATAATATTATATATAAATTAAAAACTTTTCATTATTTTTTTAACTGCATATTCTCCAAAAAAAACATTATTTCAAAATACATTTTTCCTCAAATTCTCATTAAAATGGGGTCCAAACATATTTGAACAATTCTTTCATTTAAATTACTAATCTTTCAATTGTTTCTAAACGGTCACATAACATTTTATTTTGTTTTTAGATTTGTCTTCATTAATAATATTAGTGGAAATTAGTGATGGAGATAAAAATGACCGACTTATAATGAAACATAAAGTAAAGTAGCCATTTTAGAGGAAGAAAAAGTTGAGTGACCATTGACCAAAGTGAAGAGAACTCGAAGTTAAGTGACCATTGAGTTTTTAATATTGATTATTTTTATTATGTCTTTTGAAAATTGCCCAAAAGTCAATTTACTATTTAGCCCTATTTATTTTTTATTTTTCTGAAATTAAATTAGAATAATGTCACTTGTACAATGTATTTGTACAACTTGATTGATAATAAGTGTGTTAAAAAAATCCTAGCCATTGATTTTAAAAACAGTTTTTCAAATAGATGGATGTGATGTTTGTCAAGTCATACATTGTAAATCAAGTTGTAAAATATATTGTACAAGTAGCATGATAGAATAAATTATGTGGAAAGTGTTTTTTTTTTTTAATGTATGATTAAAAAATAAGAAAAAGTCATGGGCTCACGTGCAAGTTTTTTATTGAAAGAGCGTGGTTTAAAATGAATTTAAGAAAAAGTTTTAAAAAATGAGAGTTGTCAGCTTAAAATAGTAATCATGAATTTTACTATCTTAATGTTTCTACTTCTCAACAAAATATGTTAAATGGTATGTTCAAACGTGTAAAGAACATAATTACGTGTTCTAACTTACAAAGAACCACAACTAGACCGAACATTGTAGTGAACTCCTAAACACATCTAGAAATATTAAAAACTCTTTCTTCAAATGGGTTGAAAGATGAATTGTTCTCATCTGTATATGGAAAAAATTGAGAAGAATCTCATTTTTCAATCGACAATTTCCAAATTGAATAATATATATTTGATGCTAAAATGAAGATCGCGACACTTGAAGAAATTTTGGAGGAAAAAGATGCATTTAAAGTCAATATTCAAACCGCTCTTGATCATTCCGAAGAGATCGCTAAAATAATTATCAATGGAACAGCAAGCTTGGATGATGTGTTGAGCTATGGAAGGACCACCATGTCACGACGAGTTAGGCTATGTTGGATGTGGAAAAGAGAAGAAGTCCAAAGAATTGAATTTTGTAAAATCTTAAATTCCGAAACATATCCTGCAATAATCCGTTGTTGTTAACTTTGTAGCTATCAAGATTGTGAATAAAACTTCTACAGCTCAGACTGAGACTGAAACCCTTGATTAACATTAGAACTGCACAAATTCAAATTGATGGTGGAATTCCCATATTTACCTTGGTAAGCCTTTAGGTAAGTCTTCCACTGTGGTAGGAATGGTCATATCTCAATGGCCAGATTTGTTGAACGTGATTGAAACATAGAACAAATATGTTCACATTCCTAAGAGGTCTACACACATGTCTAAACCTACCATCGTTCATTCAAATATCAGAAAATTCGAAAGGTGAAGAAAAACTTAAGAGTTTAGGTAAACATTGTTCTCGTATGCTTTTGCTGTGGTGTTGAAGGTAATAAAAATCTAAATATCCTGGAATTTTAATATAAAAATAAAACCATGCTGAACTGTGTGCACAAACCTAAGTCTAAATAGAAAGTTAATCAGGTTTGGTTGGAAATAATGATTTGAAATTCTATAGAAGTAAGGTGATCCAAGTTGAACTTGTTCATAATAAGGATAAATCTAAGACTTTTGCACATGTTCAGTTTGAGGTTCTCATAAAAGCATTAGGAAACTGTAGTGTCCATTGATTGTTTGTTTCTTGATCTGGTAGAGTAGTCCTTTTTTATTTGTTTGTGGTGTTCTGCATTTATATTTGTTATTTGTGTGCTTTTCTTTTGAGTTTTGAGCAGACTAATGAGCAAAGTTCACTCGAAAAAAACTAGAGAAATTGGTAGGCTAAAAGCTGTATTTCTTAGATAATTTTAGTTGCTTGTGTTAGGAAAATGTGTAATTGGCAATCTGTGACCAAAGGACCTATTTGTCAAAATTGTAAAGTCAAGGACTAAATTGTACAGGTCAAATAGTTCAGGGACTAAAGTTGCAATTTAGTAAAGGTCATAGCATAAGTCTAGGGTAAAGTGGGATGCTTTGAAGATGCAAACGGCACGTTGATGTCGCTGGAGTTTCGCCCTGACCTTGCTAGAGCCAAAATTGCAGAACTGACCTTGTTGGAGTTTCGCTGGTCTATCGCCTGAGCGAAGGTACGTCGCTCGAGTTTCGCCAGGACCTCGCTCGAGCGACTGTGTTATCTGGCCTTTGGTAATTTTAATGCCTCGCGAATTTTTAACGCTCCATATTACCAAATTCGACCTACTATATAAACAAAACGTCTGATTTTCATTAGGTGACCTTTGGCAAACATTAAAACAACAATTCCTCTCAACTTCCAAAGGATCAAGAGCCAAAATAAATTCATTCTTTTCATCTTTGATTCTCATGGTTCTTTGAATAAAAATATCAACCCTCACAAAACCAAAACACCCTTTCATATCTCCATATAAACTTCCAGAAGATCATATGTTTGAAGATCCGGGAAGGAAATTGCTTGAAGAGCTAGAGTGCTTGGTGATTCACGGGAGGTAGAAGATATTCAAAGCTGGGATTTTGGCGCAGATCTGCAAAATCCAGGATAGCTGTGG